TGGAGGCAACTGCTTAAGTGCAAGGCCTTGCTCTATTCTCAGATATGTGCCATAAAATAGCTAGCGAGAGACATGAGCCTGAAAGCCAAACGTTGCACAAATTAGATGCATTTTGTTGAGCACTGGCAAAATCACTGTGTTGCCCTCTGTGAGGTACAATCTCCCCCTGAACATCTGGGATGACCCTGAGCTAATAATACTGGACAAATGACAGTATGCATGGAGAACACAAGGTTTCCCAGGACAGCTACCTCAAAAAAGGGCCAACCGTGTGAAAACCTGGACCAATGGCATTCTTACAATACTAGCCTCAAGACAGCTGGCCCTCCAAGTTGGTGGGTCTGGCTTGCAGCCTTCCTGCCACTTCCCTGTCCCCAGGCCAGTCAAGACCTGGGGATAGGAGAATGCGCAAAGTCTCCTCCCCCATCAGGGGTGCAGGGCCCCAGAGGGAACCACTGCTTGTTTTGAAACAGTCGGCAGTTCTCTCCCCCTGCCCGATTGGCCTGGGGCCAGAGGGAGCAGGTGAAGTCTCCTCCAGCTGCAGAGCCTACACTAGAGAGAACCATCGGCTGTTTTAAAAGAGCTGGCAATTCTCTCTAGGTGCCGGTGTTACCCGGCAGGGGCAAAGACTTCATGCGCTCCCCCACCCCCAGGCCAATCAGGGTCTATGGGTGGGAGAGCACAAGAAGTTTCCCACCCCTTCCAGTGCAGCCCAGGGCCACTTCATACATTTCTGAAGTGGCCCCCTTTTAAAAATTATTGCCCACCCCTGCTCTAGGGGCAAGTGCTACAGCCACAGAGATATTGCTAAACTCGGATTGGCAGCACATTGACAGCAGCTGGAGCCACTGGGTAGCAGAATAACCTTCACTATCACTACCATACAGACAACAGTTGAGAGTTAGAGAACTTGACCCCTGGATTTTAAGCATATGAAATAAGTTCCACTTCTGCCATAAAACCTGGAGTTAAATACAAAAGTTAACGGAGCTAATAGTCATTAGTCTGGAGACTAAGACATGAGCTCGAGATATTCGTGCACAGATTTGAAGCTCTAGCCTTGAACCCTGAAACCATGTGATTTCATACTTTTATTCACAAAAATACTTTATTTATAACAATATATCCATTATCTATAACATAATCCAAAAATACAGCTATACATTTTTACATTTTTAATAAAAAGATTTATAATAGTCTCTTCCATTTACAAAGGGAACACAAGTAATTTCTTTGAAAATAAAACACAACATTCAGATACATCATCTCCAAAGTGGATGAACTGTGCTAAAGCTGACCACCACAAAATATACAGGTGTCTGAAAACGCTTTCCCAGATAATCTTTAGTGGAATATTCCTTTTAAATCTCTCACAGTTCTGTCCATTCCTTTCCATAAAGGTAATGTATAATTTAATACTGCATATTCACAATTCAGGACTTAAAAATTATTTAGTGACCAAGATCAAGGCTGACAATCTTCCTGTCTAAAGAGGAGCAAAAAACCTTAAGCCCAGAAACAAATGGGCAAACAGACCTTCTGTGATAACTATTAGAACCTGTTTGTTAGGATTTGTTCCATATGGGACAGCTTTACTGCTTAAACTCTGTTCCAGCTCAGATGATCTGACACATTTGAGAGGCCGTGCTGCAAGTTTCATCTGTCATTTTACCTAATGTTTGTGGTCCCCACAGAATCTTTATTTCTTAGGACTGATAACAGTTTAAGCTCTAGGTCTTTTGCTTCTCAGTAAAACAGAAAGCATCCATTCTTCCAGGCTACACTCACCCAGGCAAAAAAAAAAAAATCACTAAATTTGTTGCCCTAGGCAACTAAGTTTATGGTAATCAGCTTTGCACAGATAGATCAGTAGCTGTTTGATTACAAATCTACACCTCCAAAGAGGTGTGTTGGCTTTTGAGAATCAGTTTAACCACACAATTACCATCTATAGCAATTATTTCACAAATGTTTTCTTATATAAGCATTGCCTACAATATTGAATCATTGGATGGATGGGGAAATGGAGCCTGAGTCTTCATCAATATTACAATCTTCAAGACAGTGACACTCCTACTTGTAATCCAGTGTAACAGGATAATGAGGTATGGGTGCATTTGCTGGCTACTGAACTACATGCTGATTTGAAGGGGGGAAGGGAGGAGAGAAAAGCCAGAGGCAGAATCATTTCTTACACTCTGTGATGACACACAAAAAAGAGCTGACTATCCTCCCAAGTCCAGCTTTGTGCAATTGAGCTTTCTCCCCACTTCCCTCTAGCAACTGGCTAAGTTTTGTGCACATATTTTAAAATGTCAAAAACCAGTCCCATTAAACATGAATATGAACACTTCATATATACCATGTACAGTGATGCGACATCCAGGATTATGTACATCACATTTTAAACTACAGAACCCTGGAGACTCTCTCAGCTCATGTGGCAAGAAAAATACATTCACAGATAACTACACTGATCGCAAGAGGGGGTTTCTATGACATTTTTGTTTAACTGTTGTCTCCTACAAAGCCAAATGCAAATTGTTTGACAAAAAACACAAAGGGCACAGTCCTGTAACAAACACCATCTTTGTTTTTTCCATTAAAATTGTGCTGTACAAATCACACTTGAGCTGATGGTTCTGTTTTGTTGTAACACCGTGGGCCTGAACCTGTTCTAGTACAGCCTCTTTCTGACACTCCAGTGGTCTATTAGATGGGCTGCACCAGTACAATCACTTGTGGCCATAGGTGGTGGAATCCCAGAATATGGGAAGTACAGAAACAAACCAACCCATCTTTGCCTCTCCTCTCAGTTTCTATGCCAAGTGTAGCTCAATACTGGGGGGGGGGGAAAGGGAGAAAGGGGCAGGGAATAAGGGACTTGTGTAGAATATTTTCTTTTCTTCCTCTTGGATTTCTGTCTCCCTTCCACTATAGGGCATGAGACTAATGACAACAAGATTCACATTTTATCTGTCAACCTGAAAGGCAACTCAAATCAAAAGCATGCAGATTTCTCACCAAGCAAACAAGATGCCCCTTTTATAAAATGCCTGCTTTGTGGACTTCTGTTTTATTAGCAATGGTTCCGGATGAATATTGACTAAAATCAGACAACTGCAATAGGGTAAAAGTCAAACACTTCATCTATGGTTTGTTGCATCATCAAAAGAACCTATATCTTATTACAATATTATTCTCCTCCGAAAGCTTGTTTTCCTGATTATGTACCAAAGTGCAACATCGAGATACAAGTAATGAAAACAGGCTTTAATTTTATTTCATGAGTAAATCAGACCCCACTATCTTCATAACACTACAATAGGTTTTTGTCTTCACAGTAAAGAACTTAAGGCATTTCCAGAGAAATGGGACATTGGCAGGAAGGCCTGCACTCTCTTGCTACCACTATGACACCATCCAAGGCAGATCTCTCTTCCTCCAAAATGGACAAATGTTTATGGGGAGAAAGGAATTCAAAAGAGGGTCTGGATGTGGGAGCCAGATCAAGTCCAAAGGCAGCAATGCAAAATTAAATAGAAATAATTCTCAACAGGAAGAGATGTACAGATTCAGATACATAGAGCATGCTTCACCAGAATTACATACAACACTGGGCTTTGGGGAAATAAGATACTGGAAACAGTTCACTGGCCTGCATGTTGCCTTCAGTGCTACACGACTATAGACACACAAAAAATAACTTCACTCCTAAATGTATGAATGAACTTCATGCAGGTGGCAATTACACAGAGACCCTTACTACACATTATGCTCAGCTTCATGCCTACTGTGTTTAGGCAGCGGCAATCCACCATGCTGAAAATGTAGCTCTCATTCCTTTGAAATGCTTCAGGCAGTTTCACAGATTCTAATGCACCAGCAAACAGTTTGGCTGTGGACTGCTCCAAGTATTTCATAGTAGCAACTATCAGTGCTGTGTGAGAATAACTTACATAAAAGCCCTGTGCCAACTCTCTCAAAAATCCTACCCTCCCTTACACCAAGTCGTCGTCATCCTTTTAAATAAGAATTACAACTGGCTGTTGGACAATTACATCTCCAATCAAAACAAGAAGGTAGGTAAAAAACTAGATAATATTGCAACATGTAAGAAAGAATATATTAAGCTCTTCTTCTGGATTCAGTGTACATTCCCCTTTCTTACTTCTTTTTCTTCCTTTCCTGAACACAACGGGGACAGAACCTAAGGACAGAAAAGCACTGTATTACGTTCCAACAGATAAATATTTTGCCTGGGAGCACTTCACTATTTTAGAAGAGAATCAAATCAGCTACATGGACATCATTTTCTTTTGCAGATACTGTAATATTACAGAGCACAAAGACGGAGAAGAGAACTTGAACAGCCAGCAAATGAGTTGCGGCATCTGGAGGAAGAACGTGGCAGAAGTGGGGGATCCTGAGCCCCATTTTAAAATAAACCTGGTTTTAGTTCTTAGCAGAAAAACCTGATTTTTTTAAACATGAAAGATCCCTCCTTACCATAACTTGTATGTTCTTAAAAAACAGAACCAGATAAATTAATCCTCCTTTTTAAGACGACATCGCACACGAAAAAATAGCCTGAAGGAAACAGATCTAAAAAATGTTGTAAGTGCTCATAGACAGGGTAAAAGTACAAACAGAACCTGTGCCTCCCACTTACCATTTCCCTTTTGGTTTTGTGGTGAGATCCACACAAGCAAAATGAAACCACTCAATTGGACACTGCAGATCGGGAAACAAGAAATAAGGGAGACATTTAGCACATTTTAAACTACGAAAGAGAGAACCTGCCTCAATAGGCCAGTCATTAGATGTATTTGTTCTGGGAAGTTGCGCAGGGCACAGATTCCGGTTACTGTAAGAACAGATACCCAGTCTACCTTCAAAAAATATAAGCCATCTTCAGAAAAGTATGGGGTTGAAAGGAACCTCAAGAAATTAAGTCCAACCCCCGGTGCTATGACAGGGCTTAGTAAACCTATAGCATCCTTAACAGGCATCTGCCCCGCTTCTTTTTAAAAGCTTCCAAAGATGGGGACTCTATGACCTCCCTTGGAAGCCCATTCCAGAGCTTAACAACCTTTGCAGTTAAAGACTTTTTTCCTAATATTTCACCTTAATCTCCCGGGCTACAGATTAAGCCCATTGCTACTTGTCCTACCTTCAGGAGATGGAGAACAACTAATCTCCGTCCTCTTTACAGCAGCCCTTCACATCATATCTGAAGACTTATCAAGTGCTCCCTCAGTCTTCTAATGAACTAAACATGCCCAGGTTTTTTAACCTTTCCTCCACGTTTTCTAACCCTTTTCTGAGTTTCACTGTTCTCTTCTGGACTTTCTCCAGTTTGTCCTCATCTTTCTAAAGTGTTAGCGCCATGTGCAGGCTCACCAGTACCAAGCAGTGAGACACAATGATCTCCCAGGCCCTGCATACCACACTACTGTTAATACAGCCCAGAATTAGACTCTCACAACTTCACCACACTGCTGACTTTCACTCAATTAGTATCCACTATAAGCCCCTAGTTCTTTTCAGCAGCACTACTACCTAGCTAGTTACTCCCGATTTTTCAGTCATGCACTTGATTTTTCCTAAGCGAACTATTTTGCATGCGTCTTTATTGAGTTTCATCTTGTTGAATTCAGACACTCTCCAATTTGTCAAAGTCACTTTGAATTTTAACCCTTTCCTGAAAAAAAAAAAATCTTACAATCCCTCCCAGCTTGATGTTATCTGCAAATTTTATAAGCATACTCTCTACTCCATTATCCAATCATTAATGAAACTATTAAAGGAGCATCCGACCCGAGCATACACTTGTTGGCTCTCAATAGATACACCCTCACATTTAACAGCAAACCATTAATTATTATTTGGATACTGTCTTGCAAACCAGTTGTGCACCCACCTTACAGGAATTGTATTTAAGCCACATCTCCTTAGTTTTCTTATGAGAATGTCATGTGGCACTGTATTAAAAACCTTACTAAAATTAGGCATATTATGTCTACGGCTTCCCTCATCCACTAGCTCAGCAACCCTACCAAAGAAGGACATTACGTTGGTTTGGCATGGTTTTTTTGTTCTCAACAAATCCATGCTGACTATTCCTTATAACTCTATAAAATACTAGGTGCTTACAAACTGTTTAATAATTTGTTCCAGTATCTTTCCTGATACTGAAGTTAGGCTGACTGGTCTTTAATTCCCTAGGTCTGCTTTGTTGTTCTTTTTAATAATAGGTGCCATGTCTGCCCTTCTCCAGTCTTCTGAGACTTTTCACATCCTCCATGAGTTCTCAAACAGAATTGCTAACAGCTGTGCGACTGCTTCAGCTAGTTCCTTAAGTACTCTAGGATGGATTTCATTAGGCCCTGGAGCCCTCAACATATCCCACTCATCTAAATACTCTTGAATCAGTTCTGTCCCTATTTTGGCCTGCATGTCTTCCCCTTGGTTGTCAATATTAATTGTGTTGAGAGTCTGGTCATCATTAACCTTTAAGGAAAATAAGGTGCTTAATGTTATTTTGTAGATATTAGCTCTCCTTTCATGTTGAGAATAGGGCCAATGCTTTCCTTAGTGTCTCTCTTGCTCCTAATTAGAGAACCACTTCCCATTGCCTTTTATGTCCCTTGCCAGGTATAACACCTCTCGGGCACTCACATCGGGATTGTCACAGCCAATCATTTCTCCATAGGACACCTGGTGGCACAAGCAATAAGTCGGCTCATTGGGATCCACTGGCATGTCTAGGACATCCGAGGGATGGACAGACAGGATGGTATCAGCAAACTCAGACCTGTGGAGGAAACGATACTACTCAATTTTACATGACAGCAAATTACTTTTGCTCATTTGAAACTGTGTTTCATAGATAATTAGGTCCACTTGAAAAATCTAGCTTTAAGTATGTATCTTGAGCCTAGGGATACAAAATCCCATTTAAACATATAATTTAACCAGTTAACATTTGAATTGGTTAAACTGCCCAGCGCGTTGCACCGCAGGTGGGAGACTGCTGCAGTAGCCCCCTGGCTGTTCTACCCTGGCTGGAGTGCCTCCCACCCACAGCATGGTGCAGTGGGCCCAGCCAGACAGGAGCAGCTCCATGCCGGTGGCATGGTGCAGTGGGCCTGGCCGGGCTGGAGCGGCCTCCCGCCTGCGGTTTGATGCAGTGGGCTCAACTAGGCTGGAAAGGCCCCACTGGGTACCGGTTAAGTAGTAAGTATGTCAGTAAGGCAATGCTTATCAGATAACCAGCTACTCCTTTAAATCCCTACTTGAACTTAAACGTTCATCATTTATTTCAGGAAATATATTAAAAATAAAAATGGATTTGGATTATTTTGAGCATTGGTCAAAACAAAATTATGAAAGGTTTAATGTAAAGACCTGAAAGAATAACTTGCAGCATACAATACATATAAACAAAGGGAGTACTATTTAGAAAGCAGTGATAAGCTTGGCAAAACTGAGTTGACAAATAAAACAGCAACGTGACAGAAGTTTCAGTAGTAGTTTAAAAATCATATTTCTATCAAAATATGTTGAACTCTGGTTTCAAGTCACGACTACAACAACTGAAAAAGTGTAATATTCCTCCATTTTTCCAGTTTGTTTATTTATTCAGGCATTTGGGAGCACTTGGCATATAATCAGTTTTTTCCTGGTTGTAAAGACCATTATAGATATCAACAGGAGCACTACAAGCCTTATAACTTTTTTAAATGTTTTTAGAATACTAGGCAATGCTATTTAGGATGCTTAATGAGAAACTGGAATTATTTTTGGCATTACTTTCAAAATATTCAAAGTAACAGTATTACAGTATATGAAAAGTAGAGCTGAGATTCTTTCCTGCTTGCTTCGAAGAACTGGATTAGGTGACTTGAGATTATTTAGGATGCCTGCTTTAGGATGTAGAATACCAGGAAATTATTCTAAGAATGCCCTAGGATTTTGGTGAGAGTGATGCAACAGCACAGAATACCTGCAGATCACCATAATCTGCAGTCTAACTCAGTGTACACCAATATGTATGGCCACACACAAAAAAGCTAAGCTACTTTCTTTATGTTTGCATGAAGCAACAGAGACTGCATTCCTGTCTCCTTGGATACAGACATTTTCCTACGCATATTAACTCCTTGTTCAGTATATGAGAACATAATAATGCAAAGATCTCTTGACACTGGTACCAGGAGAAAGCATGAAAAAAGAACATACTTAAATGGAGTCTGCACTCTGGATACACAAACTGTCCAGTGTTATCAAAAGGGCCAGGAAGGTTTGGCTTAGCAGTTCATGAATGTACACAACTTTTCCATAAAGCAACTAAAGCTCTGGCTATTTGTCTCTTACCCTCCTTTTAATTTTTTCTTTTTGGGAGTATCTTCTTCAGATGTTCGCCTGCCTCGACCCCGGGAGCCTCTCTTGTCTTTCTGACTTCGTCCTTCTGAAAGCCAGAATTATTTCAAATTAAGGGCACCTGAGAAAAAGCATTGGATGCTTTTATTTGTGCTCCTATTACTTAAACTTGTGTTTTGTAGGCTCTTTATGGTATGTACAAGGTTCTTTTGATATTAAAAATGTGTGATTTACACTTACTATATCATGCATAGTGCCAACTTCTGTTCTGGTTTGCATCTTGATCCACCCCATAAAACAAGCTGACAGAGCTGCATGGGGAATTTGGCCTGTACCATAAAAAGTGCTTTGAAAATACACTCAACATCTTCCCCTCCCAGGACTATGCATGATTAGTCAGGGTGCAACATACACATCACCACCACCAGCGGCCCCCGAACAAACCTCAAAACCATGTCCTCAGCAATTTAAAACGTTGAGAGTCTACGGGTTAAATTTACAGGTGGAAGCAACAGGGGTGATGTGTGGTTGGTGTCTGCTATAGACCGCCGGATCAGGAGGATGAGGTAGACGAGGCTTTCTTTGGACAACTGAGAGAAGCTTCCAGATCGCAGGCCCTAGTTCTCATGGGCAACTTTAATCACCCTGACATCTGTTGGGAGACCAGTACAGCAGTACACACAGACAATCCAGGAAGTTTTTGGAGAATGTTGGGGATAACTTCTTGGTACAAGTGCTGAAGGAAACGACCAGGGGCCATGCGCAGCTTGACCTGCTGCTCACAAACACGGAGAAACTAGTAGGGGAAGTAGAGGTGGGTGACAACCTAGGAAGCAGTGATCATGAGATGGTATATTTCAGGATCCTGACCAAAGGAAGAAAGGAGAGTAGCAAAATACACACCCTGGACTTCAGAAGAGCAAACTTTGATTCCCTCAGAGAACTGATGGGCAGGATTCCCTGGGATGTTAACATGAAGGGAAAGGAGTCCAGGAGAGCTGGCAGTATTTTAAAGAAGCCTTATTAAAAGGCACAGGAAGAAACCATCCTGATGCGACCAGATTGGCTTACCAGGGACATCCTTGGTGAGCTTAAACACAAAAAGGAAGCTTACAAGAAGTGGAAACATGGACTGATGACTAGGGAGGACTATAAATATATTGCTCGGGAATGTAGGGGAGTTATCGGGAAGGCAAAAGCGCAATTGGAATTGCAGCTAGCAAGAGATGTGAAGGGGAACAAGAAAGGTTTCTACAGGCATGTTAGCAATAAGAGGGTGATCAGAGAGGGTGTGGGGCCCTTACTGGATGAGGGAGGTAACCCAGTGACAGAAAAGCTGAAGTACTCAATGCTTTCTTTGCCTCTGTCTTCACGGACAAGATCAGCTCCCAGACAAATGCACTAGGCAACACAGCATGGGAAGGAGGTGGACAGCCCTTGATGGGGAAAGAAGAAGTTAGGAACTATTTAGAAAAGCTAAACATACACAAATCCATGGGCCCGGATTTAATGCATCCGAGGGTACTGAGGGAGTTGGCAAATGTCATTGTGGAACCTTTGGCCATTATCGTTGAAAACTCGTGGAGATCAGGAGAGATCCCGGAAGACTGGAAAAAGGCAAATGTAGTGCCCATCTTTAAGAAAGGGAAGAAGGACAATCCAGGGAACTGCAGACCGGTCAGCCTTACCTCAGTCCCTGGAAAAATCATGGAGGGGATCCCCAAGGAATCCATTTTGAAGCACTTGGAAGAAGGGAAAGTGATCAGGAATAGCCAACATGGATTCACGAAGGGCAAGTCCTGCCTGACCAAACTGATTAGCTTCTATGATGAGGTAACTGGCTCTGTGGACGTGGGAAAGTCAGTGGATGTGATATACCTTGACTTTAGCAAAGCTTTGGATACGGTCTCCCACAATATTCTTGCCAGCAAGTTAAGGGAATATGGATTGGATAAATGGACTATGTGGATAGAAAGCTGGCTAGACTGTCAGGCCCAACGGGTAGTGATCAACGGCTCGATGTCAGGTTGGCCATCGGTTTCTAGCTGAGTGCCCCAAGGATCTGTTCTAGGACTGGTTTTGTTCAACATCTTTATTAATGACCTGGATGAGGGGATGGATTGCACCCTCAGCAAGTTTGCAGATGACACTAAGCTAAGGGGAGAGGTAGATACGCTGGAGGGCAGGGAAGGGTCCAGAGTGACCTGGACAGACTAGAGGATTGGGCCAAAAGAAAACTGATGAGGTTCAACAAGGACAAGTGTAGAGTCCTGCACTTGAGAGGGAAGAATCCCAAGTATTGGTACAGGCTGGGGATTGAATGGCTAAGAAGCAGTTCAGCAGAAAAGGACCTGGCGATTACAGTGGATGAGAAGTTGGACGTGAGTCAATAGGGCGCCCTTGTAGCCAAGAAGGCTAATGGCATATTAGGGTGCATTAGGAGGAGCATTGCCAGCAGATCCAGAGAAGTGATTATTCCCCTTTATTCGGCTCTGGTGAGGCCACATCTGAAATAGTGTGTCCAGTTCTGGGCCCCCCACTACAGAAAGGATGTGGATGCATTTGAGAGAGTCCAGCGGAGGGCGACCAAAATGATTAGGGGGCTGGAGCACATGTCTTATGAGGAGAGACTAAGGCATTTGGGTTTGTTTAGTCTGCAGAAGCAAAGAGTGGGGGGGGGGGGGGGGGGGGGCTTGATAGCAGCCTTCAACTTCCTGAAGGGAGGTTCCAAAGAGGATGGAGAAAGGCTGTTCTCAGTAGTGACAGATGGCAGAACTCAAGTTACAGTGGGGGAGGTCTTGGTCGGATATTAGGATAAACTATTTCCCTAGGAGGGTGGTGAAGCACTGGGATGGGTTCCCTAGGGATTCCTCCATCCCTAGAGGTGTTTAAGTCTCGGCTTGACAAAGCCCTGGCTAGGTTGATTTAGTTGGGATTGGTCCGGCCTTGGGCAGGGGGCAGGACTTGAGGTCTCTTCCAGCTCTATAATACACCACTCATTGTTTACTCTATTTAATTTGACTTTCTGCCATATACTTTAATATAGATTAGAAATTGTATCAGGCATTGTCCTTTAACTCTTTCCTTTAAAATTTCCTCTTGTCATCAGGTTACATTGGACCCTTAAGTTAAAATAAAGTTAGGATTTTATTTTTAATTAATATTTTTAATGAGAAAAATCATCCTCTCCCAACACGAGATCTTTTACGTCTCCAGGCAAGGCATGGCTGTGGTAGAGTTTGCTCAGCTTTAGCATCAAAATTTTAAGATCCACACTTCGTGCCAACTCTTGCCACCACAACTCAGCTTCTTCTGAAGCAGTGCTCGTAACAAGTGTCCTAGAGAAAGGATATGCTGACTCTCCAAGGGACAGGACCATTTCCAGCAAGAATGGTTAAGAGGGCTCTAGACTGGATTTTTTTCTTCTTTTGCCTCCCAAATGGTTGCATCAATGACAAGATTACCTTCAACTCTGGAAACAATGTAGATAGGCACAGGGAGTACGCTTATTAAGTTTGCAGATGATACCAAGCTGGGAGGGGTTGTGACTGCTCTGAGGATAGGGTCAGAATTCAAAATGATCTGGACAAATTGGAGAAATGGTCAGAGGTAAACAGGATGAAGTTTAATATGGACAAATGCAAAGTGCTCCACTTAGGAAGGAGCAATCAGTTTCACACACACAGAATGGGAAGCAACTGTCTCGGAAGCAGTACGGCAGAAAGGGATCTAGGGGTTATAGTGGACCACAAGCTGAATATGAGTCAGCAGGGTGATGGTGTTGCAAAGAAAGCAAACATGATTCTGGGATGCATTAACAGGTGTGTTGTGAGCAAGACACGAGAAGTCATTCTTCCGCTCTACTCTGCGCTGGTTAGGCCTCAGTTGGAGTATTGTGTCAGGTTCTGGGCACCGCATTTCAAGAAAGATGTGGAGAAATTGGAGAGGGTCCAGAGAAGAGCAACAATAATGATTAAAGGTCTAGAGAGCATGACCTATGAAGGAAGGCTGAAGGAATTGGGTTTTTTTAATTTAGAAAAGAGAAGATTGAGGGGGGACATGATAGCCGTTTTCAGGTATCTAAAAGGGTGTCATAAGGAGGAGGGAGAAAACTTGTTCATCTTGGCCTCTGAGGACAGAACAAGAAGCAATGGGCTTAAACTGCAGCAAGGGAGGTTTAGGTTGGACATTAGGAAAAAGTTCCTAACTGTCAGGGTGGTTAAACACTGGAATAAATTGCCCAGGGAGGTTGTGGAATCTCCATCTCTGGAGATATTTAAGAGTAGGTTGGATAAATGTCTATCAGGGATGGTCTAGACAGTATTTGGTCCTGCCATGAGGGCAGGGGATTGGACTCGATGACCTCTCGAGGTCCCTTCCAGCCCTAGTATTCTAGGATTCTATGAAAAGCATAACGTAAAATAAACCCCATACGCCAAGGCTTCAAAAGCCCTACAATGGAAATGCACATCTTACAGCAAGCTTTTCTGGTCACATCACAAATAACTCACTTTTCAGGCCTCGGCCGCCAGGGCTTTCAAAGTCACTGCCTTCCAGCTTATCCTTCAGATCAGCTTCAAATCGGGCCAGGTCTGCATCCAGCCGTCGGATGTGTTTATCCACCTGTATGGAAGAGAAACCAGAAGGCTGAAAAAAAATTCAACTAACCAACCAAAAAACCCCAGTTATTCTGGCAGGTGCTAATCCAACAGTGTAGGGCAGACTCAGACGACTCACCCTTACTAAGCATGTCACTGCTTGGACAGGTATAGGATTACAACTTTATAATAAAGGGTACACAAATTATTTAGAAGAGGTTAATAAAGTATTAATAGCGGTTATAAACATGTTGCAGACATGAGTAGTATGCGTTCGAGATGGTCTGAAGCATATCAGTAGAATGTGTTATCACAGATGGCTGTAAGCACTAGTTAACCTGCTACTGAACTACTACACTTTAGAACAAACATTTAATAATCATGTATTAAGTATTTATAAATGAAGCATCAATACAGAGCATGACAATTAGGGATGTGAAAGTTTAACGGTAAGCGATTAGCCAATAAACCTGAGCTTATCGGAGAACATTCAGAGTTACACACAGGCTCCCGCCCCATTCCTGGGAAGCTGGCTGCCATCCTGCACTGCTACCTCTGGAGATAGAGGCAGCAGCGCAGGGCGGCAGGAGGGAGCTGGTATGTGCAGGTATCTGGGTTAAAAGACAATTCCTAGGGTGCACCAGCTCCCATGGAGCTAACTGCTGCCCTAAATGTACTGATGAAACGTTCAGTGGTTGCACAGATACTCAATTACACGCATTTTAACATCCCTAGTGACAATAGTCTTTAAATAAAAAGCCCATAGCATTTGAAAGTTAGTACTGACACCTCTTGCAGTCTGTGTGAAATTAGGTGCTCTCACTCTAGTCTCTATGGGCAAAGAGTCCTCATCACAAGAGACATTAATAGCAATTTCTGAAAAGGAATCAAAGTCAGACGGGCTGGTGTACAACTTGCTTGCCATTGGGATTGTCATTCTAAAGTCAGGGCCAAGGCAGCCTATTGGAGTGACAAGAAAAATCACTGTGCATTGGATAAAGAGAAAACTCCAGTGTCATCAACCTGGAATCTTCCAGCAGCACTTACTGAAACCCCTCAAGACTGCTACACCAGAATACTGGGGGCTGCACACTCAGGGGTTTGTCAGGGGACAGAGTCTTTCAATTCTGGTTTATTAAGTAAAAACAGAGTGAAGTCAGCAAGGCCCAGAAGTTGTTACTATTAATCAGCCAGAAATAAGTTCTGACTAGCGATGTTAAAAAGTGGGGAACTGGGTAATCATGTAACCGCTAAAAATGTCAGCGGTTACACACACCTGCAGCATTAGGTGGTTCCTCAGGAGCCAATATGCACCTGGTGCTTACCAGCTGCTGCTCCACGCTGCTACCCTCTGCATCAGAAACAGCAATGCAGGGTGGCAGCTTGCTCCCTGGGAGTGGGGTAGGACCAGCTTAAAAGCCAGCTCCCACCTACAGCCCCATCCCATGGAGCTGGCTGCCACCCCATGCTGCTGCCTCTGTATCAGGCTCTGATACAGATCCAGCAGTGCAGGTTGGCAGCTGGCGCCCCAGAAGCGTGACAGGAATCACAGAGCTGGAAAAGACCTCAGAAGGCCGTCAAGTCCAGCCCCCTGCTCTAGGCAGGACAAATCCCAACTACATCAACCCAGCCAGGACTTTGTCAAGCCGAGATTTAAACACCTCTAGGGATGGAGACTCCACTACTTCCCTAGGGAACCCATCCCAGTGCTTCACCACCCTCCTAGTGAAATAGTTTTTCCTAATATCCAACCTGGACCTCTTCCACCGCAATTTGAGCCCTTTGCTCCTTGTTCTGCCATCTGTCACACAGAGAACAGCCTCTCTCCAGCCTCTTTGGAACCTCCCTTCAGGAAGTTGAAGGCTGCTCTCAAATCCCCCCTCGCTCTTCTCTTCTGCAGACTAAACAGACCCAATTCCCTCAGCCCCTCCTCATATGCTCCAGCCCCCTAATCATTTTGATTGCCCTCCACTGGACCCTCTCCAATGCATCCACATGCTTTCTGTAGTGGGGAACCCAGAACTGGACACAATTCTCCAGATGTGGCCTCACCAGAGCCAAATAAAGGAGAGTAATGACATGCTCCTCTTAATGCAACCTAATATGCTATTAGCCTTCTTCCTACAAGGGTACGCTGTTGACTCGTATCCAGCTTCTCATCCACTGTAATCACCAGGGCCTTTTCTGCAGAACTACAACTTAGCTGGTTGGTCCCCAGCCTGTAACAATACTTGGCATTCTTCAGTCCCAAGTGCAGGACTCTGCACTTGTCCTTGTTGAACCTCATCAGATTTCTTGTGACCCAATCCTCCAATTTGTCTAAGTCACTCTGGACCCTATCTCTGCCCTCAAGCGTATCTACCTCTCCCCCTAGCTTAGTGTCATCTACAAACTTGCTGAGGGTGCAATCCATCCCCTCATCCAGGTCATTAATAAAGATATTGAACAAAACCAGTCCTAGAACCGAACCTTGGGGCACTCCACTAGAAACCGACTGCCATCCTGACCTCGAGCCATTGATCACTATCCGCTGGGCCCGGCCTTCTAGCCAGCTTTCTATCCATCTTACCGTCCATTTATCCAATCCATATTCCCTTAACATGCTGGCAAGAATATTGTGGGAAACTGTATCAAAAGCCTTGCTAAAGTCAAGGTATATCACATCCACTGACTTTCCCATGTCCACAGAGTGCAATGGGCATGAGAGAAGGAAGGATAAATTAGGAGAGAGATGTATGGCATATTTACAGAGAGATCTGGTTGAGGAAGAAAGGCAAGAAAAAAGGAAAGAAGGTAAAGATCCCAAAGTTGGGGAGGAACGAAGAAAGAAATAAGAAAACCCAGAGGAAGAGATGAGAAGCAGACTCTAAAGACAACTCAGACAATGTAGCTATGAAGCAAAGCAGGACAAGGAAAGAAGATCTAACATCTCGGTTTTACGAGCAGGGCTGGTTGAGCAAGTAAGTAGGTATATTTTCAACAAATTTCATTGGTAACTAGTTGAATAACTTATTTAACAATTCCTCCCCCCACTATCTAACCAATTCTACAACTATCAAATACTATTTGGCAGATTTGCTAATGTTCATCAAATAGCTAAATTCTTAAATAATACAGTCAAATATTTTTTCTGCTAACTGACCAGTTTAGTACTTGTTGCATTTAAAAAAAATGTTCTAAATGCAAAACTGCTTAGCAGTGTTACACCTGAGAGAGTGCAGTTTGAATGCTGTGGCTTTGGGAGCTAGGGGAGCAGTGGCACATTTTTTGTTACTCTAACTCAGCAGTTTCCAATCTTTTCCAGATGGGGACCCATTTTGACAATTCAGGAAGACTTGGTGACCCAGGGCAATTCAAAAAAATGTGTGAATGGCTCCTTAAGAGCCACCTGGGGAGACACCTGGCAACCCTTTTGAAATGTAATGGCGACCCATATTTGGATCCCGACCCATAGGTTGGGAAACCCTGCTCTAACTAGTATGCTTAGTCTTTGGGCTACCAGACCATCTTTTCAAGCCCTACATCTCACTCATAAGTCTTTCTCCAGCAGAGGGCACTGGAACTGCAGACAGACTTGCCCAACTGCTTTACTGTCTGCCAGCTCATTCTCTCCAGTAGTGTGCAAGTGTAAGTCAAAGGCAGTCCTCGCTCTCAGAGACAAAATATGAAAAAAATGAGCACCGCTCAAAAGTCCATAAAATAGATAAAGGGGTGAGTACTAACAGGGTCCCCAACAAGAAAACAGCACTAGTACAAAGCTGTTCTCTCAAGAACTAGAAGATCCTCTCCCCTTACCCCTAGTCCATAGAGTGAAGGCAAAATAGTTTGGCGTGTTCCGGCTATAATTAGGACAGGGCAGGACTTTGGCAGGAATATAACTTTCAGTCATATAAAGTCATAACATATTCCCTAGTATGTCGTCTTCCCTGGACGTTCCCAACAGCACTTCTGAGGTCAAGAAATGCAATGAGAAACAGAAACACAAACACAAAAAATGGAGATATTCACAGCAGCGACTAACAAACCAGGCAGCAGTGGAGCACTCAATGTTCAATCACAATGGAAGCTTGTTTGACACCAACATAATAGAACAAAATGAAAACTGGCGTTTTCTTGGTAAGCCAATGGGGAAACAGAAAAGAATGTGTCTTAAGGGATCTACTGCCCTCTGTCAGTAAGAGTTAATCCACATACAGATACTTCAGCAACCCCAAAGCTCCTTCTTAGTTCATGATTACATTTGCATGAATCTCACTGACCAAGCACACACAACACGCATGCACTTATTCTCACCATCTCATAGGTCTGCATGGCTAGCTGCACTTTGTCATCGCTGTACTCTTTACATTTACTATAAGCATTCTGAATCTTCTGGAGGTACTCCACACGCTGCTCGGGCAACAAGTGCTTCACGGTTGATATGTACTCTGCTGCAAGGCTGTCAATTTCTGCTTTCTTATCTGAAATGCAAACAGAAAGTACAATTGCATGAGAATTAATTTCATATGTGAAATACTTTCTCACTAGCTATGGTACTTAATGACCCGTTATCATAATCTTTGAATCCCTTAAGGAATCTCAAAAAGGGTTCACCATGCCCAGATCTGATACTGCACTCAGCAGCTGTCACCAGTGTAGTTCCACCGACCTCAGTGGCATGATTTGATTTACATGGGTGAGATCAGAACTGGACCTACTGACTCCAGTTCCTGGGTTTCAACATTTCTTCAGCTTCAGTCTAAGTGTGAGAATTTTATAACTTCTGTGCTGCCATCTCCTTTTCCTTCCAGTGCCATCATTTGTCAATAACAGTCACACACTGTATGAAAGCTCAGATCCAAACATTAAACATGAATCTCTCACAAGTTTGCAACATTCTACTAGTTTGCTCGCAGGTTACACATACTTTCCCTCCTCTGTTATGACAACATCAGTGTGGTGTTTGTGTCGGTTTTATGAGGTATGTTCACATATGGACAGACAGGAGAAGAAACTACTTATATGTGACTTCCAGAAGTATAAATATTGCCACCAGAGTCCACCACAAAATAAAATGTTGTAGAATAAAGACTAAAACATTCTCCACCAATATGTAGTGGGCATCGCTACTGGAACAATTTGATATTATATGTGGCTATAACTGGTCAAAAATCATTGGTTTGATTTATTGACTAGGGCTTGAAAGAAGGACAGTACAAGTTCCCATTTACTATGCAAGTAGACTAACATTTGTACACTTACAACATACACGTATCTTGTCTCCAAAGCCAAAGCTTTGCTACACCTTCTTGTCATGCCAAACCCCACTGGGATTGTTATGACCCTTCAGAGGAAGGGTCTTCATCCCGACTGCCTCCTGGAATACCTGAACATACCTTCTGTTTTCTGATCCAGTTCACGCATCAGCTGGAAGTTCCTTCGCAGTTCACAAGGCAAATTTTCAATACCTGAAACAAAAAAGCACGGAGACTGCTGTCTATCCTTTGCTGCATCAACATATGAATCATCATCTCTGCCACAGAACCTTCCTCAGATGTCTACCACGTATATCCAAAGAGAGTTACACCCACCAGCTAGTGATGTACAGTTATGAAGATAATTAGCTACAGTTGTAGCAGCAACCATATATGTTCATTGAGACACAAGTTTTTATGGAACTTGCTGTGCTGTCAAGAATCAAAGATTTTGGTTAAAATAAATAAAAGGAAGATTCTATTCCTCCTAATGCAAAGAAACTGTTGACCTTGAAAAGACTCACACGTGCATAAATTTATCTACCATCAGTAATCCCACTGAAATAACAAAGCTACTCATTGTCCACAAAATTAAGCATGTAAGTCAGCAACCTAGGATAGCGAGAGGGCTGCATGAGTGGCCCACCATCTTAGTGGGCCGCAAGATTGTTGTAACCAAGACTGTCCTCTGGGAGAGGGTAGTTTTGTTAACTGTGCTTGTGTACCTAGAAGTTATGGGGTGTGCCATTTGAACTGTGATTGGATGCAGGGAGGAGCGCATGGCTCTCACAGTCAGTGTTGTGTATAATGAGCACTCACCTCACTTCACATGCCCTTGCTTTACAGGCATGTCACTTTAGTAGTACTGGTAGGACAAAAGCTTTGCAGACAGAAACCAATGGAATGTGGCAACACGGCAGGTTGCCCAGCACTGAGGTAAATAAATCTCCCCAGGATTGGGGGCAGTGGTTGTATCCATTAAAATGCCTATTTTATTTTATCTTATCACACTATGATTAGACAGACACAAGAAGAGGGGGCACTCCCTCATGCATCGAGGATACGAATGCCAGGATTCAGTGTGCCTCAATTTCTGAGTACCCAAATTGTGAAAATTTAGGCCCTATTTTAAGAGATGCTGAGTACTCAAAGTTCCCATTGACTTCAGCTGCAGAAACTGGGCGTTTTCAGCACTTCTGAATGTGGCTACAGATGCAGGCACCTAAAGACAGACAGAACCAAAATCATAGGCCACTTCTGAAAATGTTCAAATGGGTTTAATTTCTATTACAGATTGAACCTCTGTGGTCTGGGGCTCTAGTCTGGCAACTGCCATGGTCTGGCAAGACCACCAATGGTGCTGCACCAGGAGCCCCAGCCACAGAGGTTGCCAGCAGCTGGAAGTTCAGCCAGTCAGGCCCGTGATTGGGGGTGTGAAGGCCCACCAGCAGCAGCGGGCTGGCTTCAGGGGGAAGGGATTTAAGTGAGGAATATTATGTAAGTCTATAATTAGAGGTAGCATTGTAATTCACATGTGTGGCTGCAGACTCATGACTGCATGCCTAGAACCAATTTCCCATTTCCTGATGCTCTGCAGTCTTTGAATCCACAACAGTTCTACTTTTGTCTGAAATTCCAAATTCTGAAGATGATGAAACCCACAAAAATCTCTAGAAAAAGCTCACACACAAAATCAAAATGTATAGTGTGCACACAGAATGACGTCTAGACCAGTAATATATATGCTGAAAGAACTGAGAGCCAAATCAGCTGGAAGGAAGAAATATGTGAATGATAATAGAGAATAATTTAAGAACACTTTCCTAGAAACCCAGAATGTCACAATCAAGGAAAAGGGCTACATTGGTTTAAAAAAAATTGATCTGGTTTACAGTGAAGTGAAGGTATATATACATGTTTTCTAAAAGGAAGAAAATGAGGTAATGTGAAGTTAATAATAATGAATGTAAATCAGTAGTTAATTATAGGTTTATAATAGCAATGTAAATATTGGTATAAAAAGATAACCCCTTAAATGATTAAGATTATCTCTTTTAACTGAGATCATGCTGGCTGGCCTTCTGCAGCTGGAGCACCTCTGGCCAGTGGGCCTAATGTGGCTGGGGGTTGGGGTCTCTCCAGCCAGCATGAGGCTGTCTGGGTTAAGTGTTAAGGTTGGTTAACGGTAAGCCTAATGCTTACCATTAACTGGTTAGCCTTTTATATCTCTAGTTTATAAAAGAAACAAAGGAACACAAGGAGAAATTCGTAGCAGAGTTGAGAAAAAAAAGCAGTGCTTAAAGAGTATTAGGTACAAAAGAAATCCTAACAATGGCACTAATACATTACCACAGGGATAATTTGAACATGTTAATAATAATGCAGAAAAGGCAGAAATATGCAATAAACTAGCATCGCGGTCAGACGATAAACAAGAGGTACTAAAGTTGGACATGTTTTCAGTGGGGAGATCAGGATAATGTGTACATAATAATTTTAAAGGAGCTGGCTAAGCAGATTGCTTGAATCATATTTTTAATTTTCAATACATCTTCAAAACCCCCTTCTGAACCCCACCCTGTGCCCCAGTCCCCCGCCCTGAACCCCCCCAGCACCCCACCCCAACCCCTGCA